CCCCCAAAAAAAAAAAAACTTAACAATTTAATATTTTGCTTTTTCCTCCAAGGCTATTAGCTATTTATGAGCCTCCTAAAGGAAATACATTTTGAACAGATTATGTGATATTGTATCCACTCTTCCGTTAACATGAAGATGAACTAGATCTATTCGTCTCCTTTATTTTTAAGAGAATCCCCCCACCGGAACTATTCTTAAGACCACCAAGCTCTCTCGATTGCCGAGTGAATTTTACTCTATCTGCCTTGCAGTTAAAGTATACTAGAAACCTGGGCTACATTGTGCTATCAATCTCAGGCTATTACTTTGAGAAGAGGGCAGGAAGCCGTGTTCATCCCTCCAACCCCCAAAACTAATACTCAATCGTATTTCACATGTTTAATGCTCTTTTAGCCTACGGAGTTGCCACTAAAACATGCATGAAGCCGATTACCCATCTCAAATAAGTGTAAGTGTGTTTTTCCTAACTGAAACTGAGTCAAACGAGGAGCAGTGCCAAACTAGAGGAAAGGTAAAGATAAGCAGAGTAAGTTCTACCAGGGTTTCCCCATTTTTTCAAGTTTAAATTCACAAAGCAGCCATAAAGCATATTGAACTCTCAATAGAAAATTGGACAAATTGGAAAATGTAGTGGTCCACGAGTTTGCAATAGCAGATTAGCTCAATGTCCTTTCTACCAGATCCTCTAACTGAAGTCCTCTCCTATAGCCAAGATATTATACTGAAAACTGTGAATAACAAGTCATCCTCAAGGACACTTTATATCTTTACTCCCGAAAAGATGATATAGTTTCACCACCTACACTCTTTTGAACCTTGAGGAAAAACCATGATAAATGATAAATGATCTCTCTACCAGGATAATTATCGCATATGACAAATTAATCAATCATAAAGAAAGAGAAACCTCTGATCAAGTGAGTTCAGGGAAAAGGGATGGCTGCACTTACAGAGGTGAGCAAGGAGAGCGACCACCATTCACATAGTAGATGAACAAGTACGCATCATAATGCTGACCGTTAATAAAATAAAAGGCAGGTAGCCTCTTCACACATTGAAAGTACATCTTTTTGTACAAGTATATGGCAGGGTTATTATATGAGATCACATGTAGGTAAACTGCTCGACAAGTCGGGATGTTCGAGGCATATTTTATGACCTCGTGAATTAGAGAACTAGCTGAAAATCAAAAAGTACGGAGCATTTGGTAAGTCATAAAATGAGAGATAGAAGTAGAAATAAGAGCGTAAATGGGAAAACAAAGCCTTTACCTATGCCGAGATTTCTATAGGAGTCTGCAACTCCCAGTGTCAAGATGTAAATCAATGTTTGCTCTGATCTCGATGAGTCATATCTCAGAAAATCTTCTATCTACAGATATATGTGATTCAAAATCAACAAAATTTTATAAGGCTAAATTCTACGAGTAAAAGAGCAGAAAGGCTCACATCACTGTCTTTTGCTAGAACAGTCCGCGCAGTCACAAATCCAATAAGTTCGTCATTTTGCCCATTGGGCCGATTGCGATCAACAGCTCCCCAAGAAACAATGCCCCGGCCATTAACAACATTTTGGAAGAACTCAGACTCATATCTAAGCACCCGAAAAGAAAAAAAGAGTTATTAACAAAATGAGATGTTTACCTTAAAGACCAAAAACTTTTGGTTATGGAGCACATTCCAGTTTAAAAATTCAAGACATTATCTGACAGCATACTACTTTAATGAACCAAACATGAAAGAAATAATCAGACCTGATCGGGAACAGATCTCCATGGATTTTCTGAAGTACTTCCAAATCAGAGGTTCTTATAGGCCTATAATGTATGAGTGGATTGTGGGAGAGTTTGAGGTTCTGCATTGCACAATCTAGCATCAATCCCCGACAAAAATTTGGTGTATCTGTAAAGCTCGTTTGAGAAGGCTTCCCTCCATCTATACACCATGAACCAGAATGGCCATTTAGTCTCTGCAGGCTGGAGGTGATTTCTTCTCTTCCTCAATTCCTTTATACACGTGAGGTAGTAGCAAAACAAGACCTCTAAAGAAAGTAATCTAAAAGTGTCCAGTAATACGCCCTTTAGTAATAGTAGCTCCAGCAACTTTCGGCACGCCAAATATGTACTACAGAAAATAAAAAGGACGCAAGGGTGAGCAAGTTCGCAAAGAAGCACATTTGCTTTTTCCTTGAGTAGAAGAGCTTTTATCCAAATCTCTAGTATCTACAAAGCTCAGAACCTATATATACGATTCTCTTGTATGCTAATACAAATGAATTATTAGTACCAATAGAAAATAATTATCTACAACTTCCGCAACACTAAGAACTCGGAGACTCAAATGATGAAAGATCTTATCAAGCTTCATGGTTCCCAAGTTGGAGGTTAACTTTAACCGGCAGTAAGAATTGGGGAATTTCACTCCATATTTGACAACAAACTTCAAAATCAGTTCGACTTGAACCAGGTTCTAGATTCTAACTCTCACTTCAAGTGGGAAAAGTAAAAGGGAACACAATGAGGTGAACCAATAAAAAGCCTTTCGAAATCCTGCACGATTATCTAGCAAATGCGAGTCCCAATTCTAATTCACTAAAAAAGGTATTCAGAAACTAATGCTATGCCCTATAGTCTAATCTTCACCCTATGCAAATTTCTAGTGCAGACACAAATCACACACTATTAGCTGAGTTTTTCAAACAAAAAAAGAAACTAAAGAGTACCAACTGAACTCAAGGAAAAAAAACTATATTTATAACATACAGAACTTAGCTAAATTTTCCCATAAAGAAATAAAAAAGACAAAATCCAAAAGGTACCAAATTCAATTGGAGTAAAAGAAGTTCCACTCACTACCAAGCTTAGCTAAAATTTTCAAACCGAAACAAAATCTACAGAATACCAAATGGAACAAGCTAAAAGCAGTGGAACAAATAGAAACCCACATAGGGGATACGAAGAAAGAATCGAATTTTATGATTTTTATAGCAAAAAATAAAATAAAAATTGATCCCTATAAGACCATGTAAATTGTCAGATCAGCAGAAATAATTACCTGTGGTGCGCCAGCTGAAGCAAGAAAATGGGATATGAGATGTGAATTGCAATTTGCAGGGATAAGAAATCGGAAAAATCAGAGAGAGTTTTTAAAAAGTTCCTTTCTCTTTCGTCGAAGTGAAAAATCCTTTGGACGGATTCTTTATCGACGCTAAAAAGCCTTCTTTTAATTTTGTTCCGGTCAACGACTCTGACTCGGCGACACAACTCGCCGGTGCATCAAAATGTCTCTTTTGCCCCTTTCTCTATTCAAATTCGATTTTTGGTTAATTTGACATTCTTGTCGAGTGATATTGAAAATAATAATAGGCCGTTGTTAAAGTGTTTACGCCAAATCATGTAACTTAATCACAATTAATTTCTATATATTTTTACTTTATTAAATTACTTAAATAAGATTTTACTAAAAGTTACTTTTTTGTTCAATTTATATGATGCCATCTAACTAAACATCAAAATTTGGAACTTCAATTTTATACATGATATAAGTGATAATGAAAATCTACTAATACATCTAGTTACAAGGTAATTGGTGTTACTAGCAAAACAATAACTTCCCTGTTTTCCCCTATCTAGTCATTGGATATTCGAAAACCGACTAAACCGATTGAACCGTAGCTCACGAAATCGATTTTTAGGTTTCTTTTAAAAAACCGTAGGTTTTTATATAAATCTATAACCGCACTGATAATTAGGGTAGGTATTTTATTTTATAAAAATAAATCAAAAAAATACCGAACTGTACCGAATAAATTTTACATGTGGAAAAAAATATTTATATAGTAAGTTTAAAAATAATAATGCATTAAATTTTTCTTTGGGCCTCGAAATTATGAAAACTGTTACAAGTCAATAAGTAATTAAACTCAAAATACTAATTCCTAAAACCTATTATGCTACTTCTACTTAGACTAAGTTATTTCAAGTATCTTAGCAAGATAAAAATTATTCTAGCGATCATGAGAAGCAAACTACAATGTATTGAATAAGTTTCCTTTCATATAATTTAGATTTATCTTTTTGAATATTTAATTTTCTATAGACTTTATTCTTGAGTCCTAGTTTGGTTAATATCTTTCCACTCGTGTGATTTATATTTTCTTTGCCTTTGCTTGGTTTCTTTTATGCTGTTGTAGAATAGTTGATGGATCTATACTCTAACCATCTTTCATTTTTTTTAGTTCATCACCCTTTAGCAGTAAAAATGTCTAGTAAGTTTTGTTGCGTCCTGTAAAAGAACATATATTATTGCATTCTACTTTTATTGGTGAATTCTATATGATATTTTAAAAAAATACCGAAAATTAACTGAACCGTACCGATACCGAAGAGAAATCGATATCATGGGACAGTTTCGAAAAGTTTAATTTTGGTTATATATAATAGAATAACCGAAAATTGGTATGATACTAATTTTATAAAATAACCGGCCAAATCGAACCATTGACACCCTTACCCCTATATAATTGTCATGATGTATGCACACATTAGGTGCGCCCAATTCCCAAATACTAGTTGATTAGAAAGTAAAGTTTATTCCGATATTAACCAAATAATGGGACACGAAGATCGGAACCTTCTAATTTGAGCCGTTACAATCTGATTTTTTTGTTTTTTTATTTCATGGTTACGATCTAGATTTTCAAGCACATCAAAATTGAAGTTAAATACACACAAGGTGATCTAAAATCTTTAAGCAAACAAGCTACGTTTGACTTTGATAATCAAGTTGACTAAATTTTGGAGTGATTTCAACATCAATTCATTAAAAATGAGGAAATAATGATAGGCGCTGGCTAAATAGTGATATAAATAGTGTCAAGTTGTTAAAGTTTCAATTCCAAAGTGGTAGAAACATTAGAGTAATTGGACAGTCAAACCGTCGAAGTAGACTCAAGACAATCATTTGAAGTAAAGGGTAGTTTGCAGTGAAACTAGGTGGGGGAAAAAGCACTCTGCAGTGAAACTGAAAGGAATTTATAATGCAACATCTTGTTTAATATTTCACGAGTTCGTGCAATAGTTTCATTATTTGGAAGAACTTTACATGATTCAATATCAAAGTTAAGGGTGGTTCATTAACCCACCTCAACCTTGTTTAGTTGGATTGGAACTTCATATCATGTTGCTCGGATAATATATCAAAATAAGGATTTGAATTACAAAAATTGGCAACATTACAAGTTTACAACATACATGGTAAGAGCATATTAGTTTTATGCTGTGGGTCCTCGCCTCCTTACCGATCAGCACTCAATATACGACTCAAATTCTGTGTGATTTCATAGGAAAGTACCACTCAGGAATCGATGGTTTACTACAGCTTCTGCAATTGGCCTCCCACGGTAGTCACGATTAAGCATCGCCTGCATAGTAAAATAACCCAAAAACTCAAATTTAGTAGACCTACAGACTAAACAAATGCAAGCGTGCGCGCTCATACACATATTTCACAGCTCAAACAAATATGGAAAATTGAAAGGGAACAATGAGTGGCCTGAAATTTATACTAAGGAAAGTTTCCACTACTAAATTTTCTTCGGCCAACTCATTAAGTGCTAATATGAAAGAACTTGAAATGGAACAAGCGAGTGGTATTGAAACTAAGACAAACTTTAAGGTATTCCTCATAGTCACAGTGCTTCATGTCTTTTGCAGACTCATTAAAATAATATGGAAAGCGAACACGAATGGTTGCAACAGTTGAGATATTCTACCTGCAGTAACTCCCAGCCAGCACCATCACCTAGATCAAGAAACTTGACTGCTTCTAGCAGGCGATCATCAGCAGAACAATACCTGTCAAAAATAAGTTAAGAAACCTAGTGCGAATGGTCCTTGATAAAAACTGATGATTTTGTAATGTTCATAATCGACTCAAGAAGGTGAGAAATGTACTATGGAAAAACAGTGTCAATCAACAATCTCTTAACTGACATCAAACCCTAGCTAGACTTGGTTATTGTTCGAGGGGCTACCAACAAACTTAACTAGATCATAGCTACAATTTTTTTTGCCTCCCCCCCCCC